GTAGATCATAGGGCTATGGTTGGCTGGCAGACAGGATGGTCTTGAAATGTACATGTGAATGCTCAGACTATTTGCTCTCTCCATTTTCTTAATTCCATTAATCATACCCCTTCATTCATTTCTTTGTTCATTCATTCAACAACTTTGTATTGAGTACCTACCATGTACCGAGTATGTTCTGGCCCTGGAGGTATGGATGTAAAGAAAACACTTTCTGCTGAAGTGAAGCTTACATTCTAATTGGGCAATTCAGACAGTAAATATATATGTATATGACAGGTAGCAATAAGTACCTTGAAGAAAAATAAAGCAGGGAAAGCGAATGACAGGGTATGAGCATGTACGCATTGTATCTCAGAAAAGGCCATGAAGCCAGGTTGACTAGAGCAGAGGAAGGGTGGGAAATGGTGGGCAGAGATACAATGGGACTGGTAAAGTGGGATATTTAGCATAAAGACTTTGGTTTCACTCTAGAGAAAAGAAGAAGCCATTGAAAGATTTGAAACTGAGGATCCCCATGATCTGACTTATGAATATAAAAGGATCATTCTGGCCCTTAACTGGAGAATAAATTGTAGGAGGACAAGGTTGAAAGAGATAGACAAGTTAGGAAGCTAATCTATAGATCATTTTGACAGCTTGCACTCTGGTCTCATCCAAGTCCACCTAAATGTAATTTATTATCTCTACCACCTGTCTCCTTTTTTTCCATCCATATTATCCAATCCAGAAATCATTACCTACTATTTTCACTATTATAATACTAGACACTCTAGTTTGGGGGCTACAAGTTTGAAGAAGGTAAGAGTAGAGCTTCGCATTCATGCCTTAAACAGTTCTATAGACAAAATTGAATAGAACAGAAAAATAAATAGTACATTGTTGAAATGAAAACTATGTGGCATAGTTGAAGGTTTGGGTACCCCATAGCAGCAAATAAAAACAAAAAATAATCATAAAATGCTTAGTTGAAAATCTTTGAGAATTTCTGCATTAATGTACATTTATAGACATATAAGCCTAATCTTTTAGAATGCTTGATTTTTGACTTTGTTTCAAAGAAACAGGTGCAATTATATTATTTGTTCACTTTAATTCACAGACAACATACGGGAATTAATTTTTAAAATATACTAAAACCTAAATAGGCAACGGTATCAGCCAGTATCAGGATATTTGACTTTTCTAATCAAAAAACAAAATTATATCTTCACAATCTTGAAACATACAATAATTTCATGTTCTTAAATATAATGCCATACTTCCAAATATAGCATAAAGGAGCTAAAGGCAAATGCTTAAAGCTGAGTATCTTCAATAGCTAAGAAAAGTAATGTAATAAAACATGGGATTTTATTCCTAGAAAGTATAATTGGATTTAGTGACTATCAAAAGCAATTATTATATTAACATTTACCTTTATTTGTAATAGTTCTAGAAATAAGAAATGGAGCTGTGGCAATTTAAACAATTCACTTTTCTTAAAAAGACAGTCTGAATATTGTCAAAACTGACCTGTGAGTTCACTAGCTCTATAAAAATTGTGTTAATATTTACTTAACAGAAGGAGGAGAAAGTTCAAAGCGAATAAGACAGTTACAAATTAACACCAACTATATGCAAAGCTACATAAATGATTTAATATAGCACTCTTATGCTACTGTATACTCAAGAAAATTAGAATGTAATTCAATTTTTAATACATGGGTTTTTACAATTTATAATTATATAGACATGATCATTATTTGTCTGCTTAAAGAGTTTCTCATTGCTATTGATTTGCCTTTCTTTGAAAAGCAGGAGACTATAATAGTTCCTTTAGCTAGTGCATCTCAAATCTGTTACTAAGAGAAAAGAACCTTGAATAAGAAAAAAGCATGTCACTTCTTTCAAGCTTCATTTCTTCTATTTTATCAGGGGAAAAGAGGGCCTTATAAAAATTGACCAATGCAGTAGAGTTTGAATTTATATTCTCCTAAAATGGTAAACATAATAAATTGAGAACCAAACGCTTAATTTTATTTCATACCAGTTGTAGCTAGACATAATTATAGCAGAAGAACTGACTTTATAGCAATTGTAAAAATGTAAATAAGGCTTTAAAACTGACTCAGGAATTATATTTTATAAATGAAGCTTTAATTTTAATGTAAAAAATTATCTCAGGGCATGATATGCATTATTCAAAATGTCCTGCCTTTGTTACCATTGAAATGGTAGTTATACTTCAGAAAACCGAGGGACAGAAACACCTGTTTCTTATCAAATCATATCTCCTAGTGATTACAATAATTTTATGTACAAGATAGACTTTAAATACCGCAGTATTTTAAAGTTTATATTTTTAGATAAAAGTTTATTTTTAAAATACCAGTGGAAAATGTGAAACAAAATGTAATGTGACAATTATCAATTTTAGTCCAAATATTCTTAATAGCAAAGTATCAAGTGTCTACATCTAAAACGCTTTTCGTAACTTGTATTGATTTTTGTCCTAATGCAAACATTTAACTATTAAAATTTGGAAAATAATTAAATATTTTTAAAAGCAGTAAAAACTTTCAATAATTTGTTTTATTTTCTTCAAATCACCAGCCCATTTGGTGAGGTATTTGTCTATATAAAATTAGGATAATACTAAATTTATTTTTATAAATTGCTTTTTTATTAGTTCCAAAGCTTATGAGATATTAAAGTACATTTTAATTGAAAAAAAAATCAAATGGCTTTTAAATCGATGTTTTCTTTTAAAAGAATGAAGTCCATGCCAAGTTGAGTCATGAAGAGAAATGTCAGTGCGATCCCTGGCAGCTGCTCGCTTCCCTGGGAAGGAAGGGCTGGTTAGGAGTACAGTAGCTAGCAAACCCCTCAGCACTCCACAAAGTCACTAGTGGGAAAAGAACAAAGGCCTTTCCAATGCAACTAACACAGATGTGCCCAAAGGCAAACTGTCAGAAACAGTTAAGATGACAGCTACTCACAGTTCATTATTTCCTTCTCACAGGTCACTGGGTGACAAGCTGGGTCAGCATGCTTTGTTGGCTGTCCCAGTCCTTCTCCACCCCCTATTCCATTTAAATAAGAGTAAAGGACTCCTTTGGATAAACTAATGTAAACAAACACATTCCAGACACTTAATGCCAGAATATGGCATTTACTTTACTTTGGACCAAACTTAGAATTCAATGTACACACAACTTATTTTATCGAAGCAAGGATAGAAGCACACTTCTATGCCTACTTTTCAGTGATTATTTTAGACTGTGGGTGCATGTGTGTGCGTGTGTGTGTGTTTTAAGAGGTAAAGAAACTGAAATTACATCTACTGTGGTAAATTGTGGAGGCAGAGGGGGAAGAATGTAGATAAATCCCCGCCTTAAGAAAAAAAAAAAAAAAGAAGAAGAAGAAGGCAGGAAGAGTTGCTGGAGCCTATCACATAAACCCTGAGGAATGCTCACTAAGAAACAGCCTCTGGAAGATTTCTTATGAAATCAAACCCAAACAGATTTACTAGTCAATTCCTATTGACTAAAAAGCATAAATCTAAGTAAAACCCCTATTAAAAATTCTTTTCTAGCTCTGCTTGTTTTCAGAACATTTTCACAACTAACACTTGAATGCTTACTACTTTTCTGGAAACTTAAAGATATCTCACTTAATTCTAACAACCTCAGACAGGTCTTGTGGTATGGCAGCTGACATTAACTGCCCTGTCTTTTTTGGCCTCACTTTTTCTAATACTATATTCCTT